GTCGTGATACCTCAGTCTCGTCTTAGGATCTGTGTATGGAGCAGGCAGTCCTGTTATATCGCAGTAGCGGGTTTGCTGCGACGGGTGCAATGAGGGTGCGGATTCGATATTCGTGTACGTTACGGCAGGTCCAGATGTAAATGCAGCTCGTGCGTTCTTTTCCAGCACCAGTGTCGAGAGGTTCTGCGCGGCCTGCGCGATGTTCGTTCGAGGTGTGCCATCGGCAGGGGTCTGACTGCCGTCGGTGCTGGCGGACGTAGCTGGGAGTGGGGTGGTTGCGCCGGAATTAGACTGTGTTGCCATAACAGAAGCCTCCTTCCTCGAGCTCTCAGAAATAAGCTGCTTGACGTTCTTGTTGCGACGCTGCGATGGCTTCCAATTCGGATTGCGGAACGGACGGGAAACTGCCGCGATGTCGAGACGATCGAGAAGCGCTTGGTGATTCTCCTGTTCGGCGGGGGTAAGAGGAGCCATGGTGATGATGGAGCGTTGAGGTGCGGATGAGGTTCTAGTTTGAAAGGATGAGGCTGGTGTCTTGGTTCAGTGGTGGAGGTTTGGTTGATAATGTCGAACTGGGGGTATGGCGGTGCTCTCCCACGTCCGACCCTTGTCCGAGTTGTGAAATTAGAATGCACAATACGCACTGATATCACCGATACTGATGGTCAGATGACGCAGTACTATTGTCTGTTCGTCCAGAGAGAGAGTGAAAGAAATAGTGAAGATAGAGAATAAGCCAACTTTGGAGACCTGATGTCTGGATAGTGAACCTGCCAACCAGTTCCCAGCTTGGTATCAGTCACGTGGCAGCGTATCTTGGGTTGCCGTGAATCCAAAGAAGCAACAACAAACACAACATCAACAATTCATCCACGAACTACACCAGATCGCAAAGATGGTAAGCAATACAGTGCACAGGAAGATTTAGTGGTAGCCAGGTCATCCTAATATTACATCTAGGAAAGTCCACATGAGCACCAGCAGGCCCTGCTGCTCTCTCGCATTATCGGCAACATTGTATGTGAACCGGATGGCATTCTGAGTTGCCATAGCTGATCGGCTCTAGGAAAAACTAAATGAGTCAATCATGGTGATGAACAGAAGCCTCCAGGTAAGCGCATTTGCTCGCTTTCCGCTATGATGATAGAGTACTGATGGGCTGTATTAGGAGGTCAATATTCAGAACATGAACGTCGAGCTTGTCGCACAGATGTTCAAGAACTACCAGTCCAACGTACTATTCCATCTAGAAGGTAGTTCTCCATTTATTTCTTAGTTGAGTTTGGCTGACCAGTATTAGCGACGGAGAATTTGAAAGATCCGTCATCCTCGTCCAGTTCTTGATACCCAACAGTGTTTCCTAGTTATTTGATCATGAAGACATGATTTCCACGTAACTCCGAATTTCACTTATTCCTTAATTTTACATAGATAGTAGACCAAGTAGAGACAGCCAAGTGTGACTGCTACGTTCCGTAAAGAGGCATAGTTCCTCGCATGGAGTGACCGGCTTGGCGGCATACGAGCGCCGCTGGCTGTGGCCGGAGAAGCCTCCACGGCCCCGACCAAAGCTGGGGAACTTTCAAGCTCCCATTTCCTTTCTTCCCTCATCACCAACACCACCGCAACCTGCGTCATCCGATCTCTGACAGCCTTATCAGCGCGCATCTATCATCAGCTAGTGGGTGTCTGGTGCACTAACGCTTGCGACACTCACTGCAATGCAGTGAGCGGTCTTTACCTGGAAGCTTCCAAGTTGCTGCTAAGAGCGCCTGCGTCCAACCACCATGGCTATCACCTCGATTCAGCCGGTTCTGCCGACCCGGTTCACGATCAATTCGACCGAGAAAGGCGCCAAAAAGCCTCCCCCGGAACCTTACCACGTGAAAGACCATCCATTTAAAGGCTACCACCCCCCTCAACCGGAAGGCTACGAAAAGAGCAAGAGTACTAGCGCCATAGTTATTGATAATGGTGAGTGAAGGCCCTGGCTTAAGACTGCATTGTATACGGTCCACTGACTTTTCCGATCGACTTGAAGGCTCGAACCTCGTCAAAGCAGGTTGGTCGTTCGACAAATCCCCTCGATTCGTGCTTCCTCCTGTGATGAGCCGGTATCGCGACCGGAAGCTCAACAAAGCCTGCCAATTCATCGGATACGATTCCTATGTAGATGCGACTACGCGCGGTCAGCTGCGCTATGCCTTCGACCCTGGCACGAGTGTGGTGGGTAACTGGGATGTTATGGAGGGGGTGTTGGACTATCTGTTCATCAAGCTGGGAGTTGATGGTGCCAATGGAGGTGTTGATAGGCCGATTGTCATGACTGAGCCGATCGCGAACCTCGCCTATCCCAGAAGGAGTAAGTTGTATCGCTTGCAGCTACAATGGTGGCATTGCTGACGATGTGCTAGTGATGAACGAAATCCTATTCGAGTGCTATTCCGCGCCATCGGTCGCCTACGGCATCGACTCCCTGTTCTCCTATCGGTACAACCGCGGAAAGGATGGACTCATCATCTCGTCGTCGCACACATCGACGCATGTAATTCCCGTGCTGAATAACAAGGCTTTGCTATCCAACTGCTCGCGACTGAATTGGGGTGGACTGCACGCATCGGAATACTTGCTGAAACTCATGCGCTTGAAGTACCCGACCTTCCCTGCGAGGATGACAGAAAGCCAGATGGAAGACATTGTGCACAAGCATTGTTACGTTTCCAAGGACTACGACCAAGAGCTGAGCCACTATCTGGACTGGACGGGGCTGGAGGAGCGTGACTGTATCGTCCAATACCCTTATACCGAGCATGTTGTGCCCGAAAAGACCGAGGAAGAACTCGCCCGGATTGCCGAGAGGAAGAAGGAAAGTGGGCGTCGGTTGCAGGAGCAGGCCGCTAAGATGCGGCTAGAGAAATTGATGAAGAAGGAGCAAGAATTGGAGTACTACAAGGACCTACAGAATGGACTGGCCTCTGAGACGAAGAAGGAAGCCAGGCGCATTCTCGAAGCGGAGGATCTGAAGGATGAAGCCCATCTTGATCGATTGATTCGGGATCTTGAGCGGTCCATCAAACGATCCCGGAACCGGGACCTGGGGATCGAAGAAACCGAAGAGCCCCAGGAAGAGATGTCATTCCCGTTATTGGACGTCCCGGATGAAGAACTGGATGAAGCTGGTCTGAAGGAAAAGCGCCATCAGCGACTAATGAAGTCCAACGTTGAAGCTCGACAACGCGCGAAGGCAGAGAAAGAGCGCGAGAAGGCTCGCCGGGAAGAGGAGGAACGCCTCGACCGTGAGAAGCGTGAGAACGATTTCGAGAATTGGCTCGCTGAACGCAGAGCAAACCGTCAGGTATGATTGTTCCCCGTACTGATAATGGCATATCTAACCTGTCTACACAACAGAACATCATGCAAAAGATCAAGGAACGTGACAGGATGAAGGCGGATCTCGGCAATCGCAAGTCATTAGCCAGTCAGATGCGTATGAAGACCCTCGCCAACCTCGCTGCGGATGGGCCCAAGAAGCGGAGGCGTGGCGGGGACGATGACACCTTCGGTGCCAACGACGAAGACTGGGGTGTCTATCGAACGGTGGCTACAGGTGAACAGAGTGATGAGGAGGAAGAGGAGGACCTTGGAGGCATGCTTGATACCGTTGAGAAGGAGCTGCTCGAGTACGACCCCGAATTCACAGAGAACCACACGCTCGCAGCACAATCCGACTGGACGAAGAGCTTGGTGCACGTCTTCCTGCGGGGCCCCTGGCCCTTTGATCCCGAGAGCCAACGTGAGGCTCATCAGTTGCACCTGAACGTGGAGCGAATCCGCGTTCCCGAGGTGGTATTCAAGCCGTCAATTGCGGGCGTTGACCAGGCCGGCCTGTTGGAGATTGCTGCCGATATTGTGAACCAGCGATTCCCGAACCCCGAGGAGCAATCGAAACTGCTGCGGGATGTGTTCCTCACGGGTGGCAACACCATGTTCAAGAACTTCGACGAACGTCTCCGCAACGACTTCCGCGCGTACCTCCCCGTGGACGCCCAACTCAACGTCAGACGTGCCAATGACCCGGTTCTGGACGCATGGAAGGGTGCTGCGCAGTGGGCGTCAGGGTCAGAACTGGCCAAGTCCTCGATCACTCGGCAGGAATACTTGGAGAAGGGCAGCGAATATCTCAAGGTAAGCGCGGGAAATTCCCTTGCTGTGACACAAGCGAGATCGGCAAATAACTTTCAAACAGGAGCATGATATGGGCAATGCCACTACATGGTAGATGTCAGAGCCTGCAATACGCTCTGCCTGTCTAAAATCTATACCAAGAGTGAGGTTTAACATAATGCAGTTGGGGTATACGAGGTCAGGACTGGGAACGCCTTTGGCGGACTGTGGATCAGCGATGCAACTAACTCAAGCTGCACCACTGAACTACCGAAGGTGTAGATGCTGGTGGTGGCGTGTATCCAGGGCGCGAAGGAACAGGGAGTCGGGCGTACTAACTCGGATGAAACATTCCAATTTCGACGAGGAATGATTTGATAGATTCAGAAGGCATGGCTAGTTTTACTTCCTTATTATTCTTATTTTGTATGCTATAGTCCTCTTACTGTCATGTGCTTTTCTTAACGGTTGTATAGTACCTATAGGCGCAATATGATAAGGTAAAGTACTTACTGAACTGCATGAGCAAGATTGGCGATGCGAATGCCGACGGTTTAGTGAAGGCAGCAATGTAAACTAATGCTCCGTGTGCATCCCACAGCAACACTAATCGCACATTGAACACGTACACAATATCCCACCCATCTTTCTAGATATGATGTCATGGGAAGATATCGTGAATAGCCCATACATTACTTGATTAAAGGGCTACTGATCCCTCCCCGCCAGCCACTCCAGAAACCTGGGCATGGCGGGTGTTGGCTACTAGTAAGTATATTTTTGGATTCCAGCCCCGACGCTTCTGTTACACTACCTATACGCTAGATATATTACATGCATGCTGCAACGCCACTCCCAACGGTCATAGCTACGTGTCAGACTAGTATGTGCCATGTAGACATGTATTCCTGCCTATATCGCCTAGGCTGCAGCTGGTCAGGCGCAGTGGTCTGTCGACCAGGGAGCGGGCTGGCTGACTGTTTTATGCTTGAATGGGGTTCAGACTAGGGGAGTTTGATGTTACCGAGCTATTGAGGCTGTTAAGTTGAACTGTGCTCGAGGTTGTCGACTTGGTCTTTCGGTACAGATACCTTTTGAGGTTGTTGATATACGAGCCTAACCCGATCTTGCTATACAGTGGACGTAGGGGAGGGAGACAGATAACAATGACTCCAAGCCCGCATTCGGCCATCGTCCAGAATAGGAGGTATGTGACGAGTGCTATATCGTTAGCTTCAGTCATGGATGTGTGTGTATGTGTGTGGTTTCGTACTTTCCCCGTCTGTTTCGGCAAAGGGATTAGCGAGATGAGCTATGTAGATAGCCATTCGTGTAGCAGAAGCTGCGATTGCTCTGTATACGGGTTAGGCACATATTACAGATTTGTAGGGGGTGTGCCGTGCTCTTACAAGAGACCAACTAGGAAGATGAGTCCAAGTCCCACTTTTTGGCGGACTGAGATGTTCACGTCCAGTATAAAATCAGAAATTGCATATCCTTCGAGGAGAGGGACCTGTAAACTGCATTCGGTTGTAACGACTGCAATAGTGCTCCAGGCGTAATCGGGATGAACACCGCAGAGAAAGATCATGCCAAAGCCAAAGGCTATAGTCCAGACAAACACTAGCGCTATCATGCACATGGTCACAGAGTGAAAGGCAGTCCGGATAGTCCGTCTGCTGCAGAATATGCTGCGGTAGAAGTAGAGAATGCTCAGCTTCGTCAAACCAAATGCAAGGACAGTCACTATGTCAGCGAAATACTGGATCTGAAATGCATTAGTACTCGGATTTGTATTAACCAATGTGAGTGGAACCTGTAGAATTCTAGTTTGTTTATCTGAGGTCGAGAAGATGGAGGCCTCTGGGCTCGGGTCATCATCAGACTGGGAAAGAAGACCCCCTAAGGATCCTGTTGTTACTCCCCAAAGAATGAGTGCTGCGAGTACATATTCCAGTCCCTGAATGAATCAATATTATTGGCTTTCAAAGCCTCAGGGTACATGTCATTTACCAGTGCAGGCAGAGTCAACCAGTCGTCAATCCACAATACAGATTCTGTCTTTCTTCTAGTGTAGTAAAAGCGAAGGATCACCGTTAAGGTCCCCAAGACAGGGAAGAGGATAGAGATTGTGATGAGTGCAGCGGGAGTTGCGTATGTTCGTGACATGATGATAACGGTGCTCCCGGGGTTCCATCGACAATGGAAGAGATATCATGTTGAGGTAAAGGCTGGAGCAACACAACAATAAAAGCAATGGAGCCAGTGCTCCCTTGACTCTCTGCCTGATGTGTGTGTATATCTTGTAGCACTCCAGCTGAAGGCGGTGATAGGCATGCTGACTGGATTCAGGTTACACACCGGGATGATCCTGGTCATTCTCTCCCACAAAAAGAGGCTATGTTCAAAAACCACCCCTGAACCGGCTTCTGTTTGTCCCACTCTTATCTCTTGTTTGACATACTGTCACCATTCCCAATCCCCATCTTTACTGTGTACTCTGATTCTGGACATTTATTATGTCTTTGCTCTGGAATCTTGGGGTAGCTGTCTTGCTGTCGGTACTTTGGACGGCAAGTGAAGCTATCCGTCGCCTTTACTTCCACCCCTTAGCCCATATTCCCGGCCCCCGCCTTGCAGCCCTGACATGGTGGTATGAGTTCTATTTCGACGTTATTCAGCCCGGTCAATACGTCTTCAAGATACAGGAGCTTCACACAAGATATGGTATGTCAAGCTCTGCTTCATGTGTGAGCCCCACTGACGATTGTAGGCCCAATCATCCGTATTACCCCAGATGAGGTTCACATCAATGACGTCGGCTTTTTGGACACTATCTACGCCCCTTCAATGAACAGAAGGGACAAGTATGGCTATCAGCTGAGGAGCCTTCGCGTCCCGGGTGGACTGGGCACAACCACCGACCATGACCTGCATAAAGTCCGGCGAGAGTCTCTTGCGCCCTTCTTCAGTGAAAAGAACATCTTGCACATGGAGGGGTTGATCTCAGACAAGGTAGCCCAGCTAAAGCAATTAATATCTACCCATGTTGCTGAAGACACCCCGATCAACTTGTCAGATGCGTTCTTTGCATTCTCGAATGAGTAGGTTGACCCGTCATTCACTCGGTTTCGAGGCTGATTGCCCAGTGTTGTCAACAACTTCCTTTTCGCGCACCGCACAGATGTACTTGCAAGCGAACCGAAAGCCGCCATCCTCCGCCAAAACAGCAAAGAGCTCTTGATGGGGATCAATATCAACAAGCACTTTCCGCAAATCCCCGATTTCCTGGAGTCGCTCCCTATGTCTATAAGCCGCCCAATGATGCCTGCAGGCCTTGTTGATCTGCTTGCCCTATTTGACGTGAGACTCCGCACCGAACATATATACCAAGTCTAACATTTTTATGCAGCGCGTTCGTGAGGAGATTTTCATGATCACAAAGGGTAAAGAATTAGGGGTAGCTGTCAAGAACAAAATTGGACCAACCGGCAAAGAGTCAGTGTTTGATTCATTACTGGATAGCCCAAACCTGCCAGCCTCGGAGAAAATGCCCCTGCGGTTGCAGCAAGAAGGAGCCCTGCTAGTTCTAGCTGGAACTGAATCGCCAGCTCAGACACTTAACATCATCTTCTATCATCTCCTTGCCAACCCCACACTTCTAGAGAAGCTTCGCAGGGAGCTCCGTGCCGTCCCTTGACCTTCCTCATGGACCCAGCTCGAGCAACTTCCGTATTTATCTGCGGTAATCGAGGAAGGCAACCGGCTTTCTTTCGGCGTCACGGCTCGGTCTGCACGTATCGCTTATGAGCCGCTGACCTATACACCTTCCTCGTACGTCTCCTCGACCTGTCCGCCCAGCACCAGAACCAAGTCGTACACAATCCCACCGGGCACTCCGGTATGCACCACAACTTTGAGTGCACACACCGCGGACGCCGTCTTTCCGGATCCTTTTGTTTTTGACCCGGAACGTTGGCTCGGCGATGCTGGGAAGGAGCGACGAAGGTTTCAAATGGCGTTTAATAAGGGAGGGCGAAAGTGCCTTGGGATCGAACTCGCGCGTGCAGAGCTATATCTTGTGGTCGCAGCCCTGGTTCGTGAATTTGACATGACACTTTTCGAAACCGATGCCGATGATGTGGCGTTTCTGTATGATTATCAAGTCGCCATGCCGAAGATGGGGTCTAAAGGAGTGAGGGTGATGGCGAAGTTGGTTCATTGATTACATTCGACCGCTACAGGAACATTTTGGGGAAGTTGATCACCAGAATACTGTAAGGGGGGCTGGTCAAAAGCCATGGATCTATAGAGGATTAATCGATCCTACACTATTTGGGTGGGCTCAATTTCGGCTCGTGCCGCCAGTTCATTGCTATCAGGTTACTTACAACCATCAACGTCTAGCTCTTGAACGATGCATCATTGAAATTCTCAGTCTTACTAATGCCAAGTCGCGCGGTACATGCGCCGGCCTCTACCAACTATGGTTCGGTCAATGATTTGACACACTAATGCACAACTAGATCTGTATGTCTCACTTAGTCCATGATACGCGGACATTCTGTGGGTGGTGGGTCAGTTAAATCGACGAACAGACAGTGGAGCTGCGTGCTAGGCGGTTATGTGCTGAGTTGATAAGGCTCTGTGATTAGTTACTAGTTGCAGGGATGTAGACCCTTCCTGCCCCTGTATACCTGAGTCCGTAGGTAAACTATAGTGGTGCGCGAGTGGCTGTGGGTACCGATGGCCTTCTCAGCCTTTTGGTCGTAACTCAGTCAGTCCCTTAGGGCGCATCTTTCATACATGACTACGCATTGCCAAGAGACCCTTGTTTGCTACTAAAAGCTGTTACCTGCGCTGTCTGCCTACTTTGAACTCAGTATTCCTTTAAATCCTAGCAAATGTTGCTGCCACCGTTCTAATGTTATAGCCTCGTTCCGAGTTTCTCTCTCCCTCCCCATCCTAACCACCACGAGACAATGCTCTTAATCCCTCTTAATAGAGTCACCAAGCAAGTTCTCACACATCTCCCCTATTATCTCCAGCTGCGCGCATCGAAAATTCTCATCTTTAGCCTGTTCGTCTGGCTCTTAATATTCTACTATTGCCGGATCAGCCTCTGGCGTGATCCGCACTCTGCCTTTTTCCAAGATCGCCATGTCTACGAACTGGACTACAGCCTCCACCGTGAGCGTGAGGCCTGGCATTTTATCTCGCAGCACAACTCGGCCATCGATCCACCGGACTACTTGAAGAGTGGAGGCACACCTACTGCTTGTATCGCCATGGTCACCGTTCGACGAGATTCCGACCATTACTTCGAAGCATCTGTTGGCTCGATGTTGGAAGGGTTGGATGAAAGAGAGCGACAAGCATTATTTCTCGGTATCCTATTTGCCGATACAGACCCGAGAGTTCATCCGAGTTGGGATCAGAAATGGGTGGGCAGGCTTGTGGATTCAGCGGATACTTATAATGTGTCGGAAGAGCAGTTGCAGTACTTGCAGGATCTGGAGAGGGATAAGAACTTTTATGAGAAGGGGGTCTTGTGAGTTGATGAATATGCTTCTAAACCCTTGTTCAATATCCATCTGCTTCCAGGACCAAGCCAGCTAATAGTGTGCAGCGACTATATTTACGCCCTCCGAACCTGCCAAGAAGTAAATGCTCCCTACACGATCATTTTCGAAGACGACATCATCCTCGCCACAGGGTGGTTCACGAAGACTTTGAAGGCACTCTCCGACATTTCCCAATGGAAACAACAGTCACAAGATCCCTGGATATACCTCCGTCTTTTCTACACTGAAACCTCGTTGGGGTGGAGCGACACCGACATGGCGTACAGCAACATGCCCCTGATATTCGGCCTTCTCATGCTATCTATATTCTCATCCTTAATGATACTTCGGCGCACTCGCTTTGAGCGACTTCACCTTGATACCCTGAGCATCGTGGTTATCTCTATAGTGTGCGTTCCAGCCTTCACCGCGCTCGTATACATGGCCGGCAAATACAACCTGATGCCGCTCCAAGGGGTTGTTGAGATGAACAAGTTCGGATGTTGTACTCAGGGCTTGGTGTTTCCGAGGGAGAGTGTGGATGGTCTTATTGAATTTCTTGCTGCCAGAGGACATGGTCAGACCGATTCCATGATAGAGGAATACGCTGATCAGAGCCAGTTGACTCGATATGCTCTGGCACCGCCTCAGCTGCAGCATGTGGGATTGAAGTCCAGCCGGAACAATCTTGACATCAATACGCAGAGTACGTGGGCATTTTGGTTTGAGACCAATGATGCGGCCAAATTGAGAAAGGAGCATACTGCACTTTTGGAAGATGATGGAGTGAAGAGAATGTTGAATATATAGACCATATTATCAGGATAACTACTCTAATGTCAAAATTAGTGAAATGATATGATATGTTGAAGCATGTTGGACATGAAAGTGTTGAAACTACCAGCGCCTGGGATGATTTCGTACCATGCCAAAGTCCAATAAAGTTTCCATGGTAGTACAACTACTTAGATCTACTGATGATGGAATATCAATCTTCAACAGTATACCGACATAAGTGAACTCAGTTTCCAACTTTGTGCAACCGTTCACATGAAGTCAGATAAGTTCGAGCATGTGGTTGTGAAACAAATGCCATCCGTGTAGTGGGGACACAGGAAGCTTGAATCTGAGCAATATAGCCCGACTATTGACTACCGACTATCGGAATATAATATTTCAATCTCATAATCCTATTCATTTCCCATCTTCCATTAAGCATCATAACTGCCTGTGATGATTTAATCCTATTCAGGAAGGGCCATGCAAAGTGTACCCAGACCGCCTGTCTGATGGGGTATATTACCAATTGCTTCATTGGGATAGGATCATCGTTACGATAGGCAGGAAATCAACATGTCAAATGTCCAACCAAGGGCGAGATGCAGCACAGACACTTGGCTGGCCTCTCGAGTCTCCAATGCTTTTCTCCTGGTGGGTCTGGCCATATCAACCTGGCCAGTCAAAGGCAAGTTTTAACTCATAAGGCGGGGGAAGCGTCCGTGATCACATGTAGCAGGTACTTATCAACCACAAAGCAACGTCACTAATCTTCATTTCATTTCCTCCACTGCATTATCCTATCTCCTCTCTAAAAGTACAACATGTCAACAACCACAATTGAGCTAGTTTCACAGGGACAAGAGGAGTCACAGAACCCAGTCCAACTATTCGGACCGAGTACCGAAGAGGCAATCGTACAACAGAAGCAAAAGTGGAATGATCCTCCTATCAATAGATGGCGTCTGTTAGCTACATTCATCAGTTTCACGGTCGTCGGCGCAAATGATGGTGTTTACGGAGTGAGCTCGCCTCAGTGAACCCCCGCATCAGGAAAGAATGACAAACTAATCACTCATGTTAGGCACTCGTCCCATATGTATGCGTCTGATCGGCTTAACTTGTTCCTTTCTTCCATCAGAGACACGCTGAACGTGAATAGCTTCGCGAAGACTATAGCTTGTCTACCACCGTGGTCTCTTTGATATTCGTGACTCCATTTGCCGGATATACGATAGCCACGCTCATCGTCAACAAGATTCACATGACGCTTGGACAGCGTGGTATAGCAATGATCGGTCCCCTATGCCATATCATTCCATATGTGATTATGGCCATCCATCCGCCCTGGCCGGCAATGCTAGCTGTCTATGTAATTGTTGGCTTGGGCAATGGTCTCATCGACGCGGCATGGAATTCCTGGATCGCTGATATGGCCAACGCGAATGCTATGATGGGGGTCCTACAAGCATTCTATGGTCTCGGGTATGTGGCTATAGACAAGACCTCTGACCATCAATTAGCAATACTAAGTACCACTGCAGGGCAACCATCAGTCCACTGGTTGGAACTCAGATGATCAAGTCGGGTCTTCGCTGGAACTACTTTTACTACACACTACTTGGTGCATCCGTTCTAGACCTAATGGTGAGCTCTACTCTATTCTGGGGAGAAAATGCGGCAAGCTACAGAGCCAAGAACCACAGAGGTACCGATAGTGGCGGTGGAAGCAGAACCACAGAGGCTATGAAAAGCCCTATTACCTGGCTGATGGCTGTTTGGCTGTTTGTGTACATGGGAGTTGAAGGTGCGCCAATCCACCAGATCGTTGAATCGAATGACCAAACTGATGAGTGAATCTGATAAGTATCGGTGGGTGGCTGGGTCGTGGACTTTATGGTCCAGGTTCGCCATGGCGAGCCCTACGAATCGGGTCTGATTCCAACCGGATTTTGGGCTGGTGTCACCGTGGGCCGTCTTGTTCTCGGTTTTGTGAACGACAGGTTGGGCACGTTCTTCCTCCCCCCTTCAAGACCTAATTACATAAATACTGACTTGCGATGAAGGAGAGCGAATTGCTATCAGCATTTATCTAGCCATTTCAATCGCCCTAGAGCTCATCTTCTGGCTCGTACCGCAGTTCATCGTGTCCGCAGTGGCCGTCTCGCTGCTCGGTTTCTTCACTGGCCCTCTCTTTCCCGCAGCCATTGTTGTGGCGGCTAAGCTGCTCCCTAAGCACCTACATACCCCTGGAATCGGACTTGCGTCGGCGTTGGCTGGCGGGGGCGGAGCAATGTACGTTTACCTCCCTTACTTCACAATGGTCCACGCCCTATTTCTGCTTGGCATCCTTGGCTAATCCCACTTTGATCAAAGACTCCCATTTGTTGCTGGTGCTATATCCGGGGCGCGCGGAGTACAGAGTCTGCAGCCATTCGTCCTCGCATTATTGATTGCGTTGATCACTATATGGGTGCTGCTCCCTCGGAGGAAGCATCATGCTTATGGTGTTTGAGGCGGTGGTATAACTTCGTGGCTAAATACAGGGAGACTTGTAAAACAAACAGGTATTTTTACGAATTTGATACAGTTATGTGCAGACATATCGTCTTAGAACGTTATATATTATTTTACAAGAGAGTGTAGTGCGCCTCTAAGTGCACTCACTATTAAACATTCTTTCTTACTAAGACCTTTTCTCAAAGAAAGCTGTATGTCCAATGTAAATTGCAACAAAGTTCCAGTTGGGAATGAACGAATTAAATGTAATTGTTTTCAATCATAATTACTATTAAAGTTATAAGTAGGCGTATTGCTGACTTGACTACCAAAACACTGGATTTATTTGTAAATCCTTTTCATATGGAGATAGGCTCAATCTATA